TGAGGAGCTCTCCCTCCACTTGTCTCTTTATGGGTATTCCCAGGGATACATCCATAATTCTGTTTTTTCTCTACTGCCCCCCTGAAGCTCATTCATCCTAAGACTAAAGCCACCATTTTTGTACACTTACATTCCAAAACTCTTTCTCCATCTCTCATCGCTCTATTCAACTTTAGAAACACATTTTCACCATGGGACATTAGCAGAAGGTTAAGGACTAAAATGCAATACTTCCAAGTATGACATAATGTTGCACCTCCACGAGCAAAAGTGGGCCCTGCTCTTGAAGTCCCTGTCTCCGCCTTTGGTGTCACCACCCACTCATTCCCTCAAGCAAGCAACCAACCGGTCACCAGCATGTTTAACTCCCTCTCTCTTTCATGACCTTCCCCTCCAACACACACACACCCACCCACCCACCCACACACACACACACACCACTCCTAATTGGCCTTACTCATTCCCCCTTCAAATTCTGGCAAATAGTTCCCTTTTCTGATGCTCCTGCGCCACCTCAGCTCAAGTGGTCATTATCCATCACTTGAACTAATACCATCTTTTCCTTGCTTGTTTCCCTACCTTTGTTCATTCAATAATTCAATAAACATTCATTTGAAAACTGACTGTATTGGACCCTGCTCTGGCCTCTCTCTGTCCCCATCAATAAGACCTCCTACTGCTTCCAGTTATACTTCTCAAGTTCAGGTCTGACTCTGTTACTACCCTTGCTTAAAAATCTCTGAATAGGATCAAGTACAGACCTATTAGCATGGCCTTGCACGGCTTGGCCTCCACTTCCCATTGATGCCCAATTCTAGGCGCCCTCCCCAACCCCTAGATAGACACCCTCCACTTCCTGGCAGACCAGGTGATCTCCTGCCCTTCTGCTCAACTGAACAGACTGCTCTCTCTTAAGGGAGTTGTCTGAGTCACTACTGGCCTGGTCAGGGGAGCAGTCCCTTTCTTTACAACAAGAATTCCCACTCCATTGCCTTAAGCCAGAAAGAACAGAAATGGTCACTGATAATTCCAGGCCATATACCACATCTTCTTTCTTTCAAACCAAATCCATCCCCTGTACACCATGAAAAGACCTAGACGACTACTCCTAGTCTTGAGCTACCAGTAGGTTCATCCAACTCCTGCAGACCTGGACACTGGAACTACCTTGAATGGGATCATCTTGCCTTTATGAAGAAAGTTGAGAAACTCTGGAAGAGGGCTGGGTACCTACAGATCTGCCATTCACTCAACAAACACATTGAACTCCTGTGATGATTCCGGCACTGGGGAAGGTGTGGTGGCTGCTAGAGAGTCAGACAGTTCCTGCAGGTCAGTGAACAGGCTCTTAACTGTCTGGGTGTATTAAGTAGACAAACCAGAAAGTCCTCTTACCCAGGCCCCCTCCCGAGTCAGGTCTCTTTGATTCATTTATCTATCCAGCAAATATATACTGAGCACCTACTGTGAGCCAGGAGCGTTTCTGTGTAGGGATACACTAACGCACAAGATAGACAAACACGCTGATCCTCAGTGGTGCACGTGTTTCAGCGTGAGGGCGGGGGTAAGCGATGGGGAGACAGAAAAACAAGTGAGTAAAAGACACAAAGTTGCAAGGTATTTAGGAAGCAAAGAACTGGACTGGGGAGTGTGGGGAAGAGGAGTGATTTTTTTAAATAGGGTCGTCGGCCTCCCTGAGAAGGAAAGTGACATTTGCAGAAATATGAGAAGGAGGTAAGGGAACAAGGACCCCACTCTACCCCCATTTGTCCCGTTTTTGCTGAAAATATCTTAGAGCTATATTTCCAAGAGAAAGATGGCATGTTCTCTCTACCAACAGGAAAGGAGGCAGTATGAAAAGAGAAGAAAAGACCAGGACAACAGAAATTATTCCATGTCGAACTGTCCCTGATGGACACTTGAAAACCAGCTCTGGGGGCAGAGCAGGTCCCACCAGGCGGAGGGGCTCCGCCGGGCCCCTCTCTCGGGCTGTCAGGCTAATCCTGCCGCCTCCTCCCACCCCCGCCCCGCCCCAAGGGGCGTCCGCTCGGGTGAGTAAAGTTCAAACCCGGCTGAAGCCAGTCCTGGGAGGCGCTTTGAACGGGAACGCAGCGCGGCCGCCAAAGTGTACCCCCCGGGCTCCGAGGGCAGCGGCCGGAAACCCGGCGACGAGCAGAGGCCGAGGGGCTGGGCCGTGAGATGAACGGCGCTGGGCCCCCGGGCGGCACTGAATCTCCCGCGGCCCGCGCGTCTCAGCTCCTGCCCGGCCCGCGGAGCCGGCCTTCTCGGGGGCCACAGAACTTTCTTGAAATTATCAACCCCCTGGGGCGCGCCCGGCGGCCCGCGACCGCCGAGCAGGGAGCCCCCTCTCCGGCCGCAGCCCGCCGGCCTTAGAGATGGAGGATTAAGTGTGCGTTCTTTCCTCCCGAACACACTCTCAGGAATGCTATTTTCTTGGGCCCGCGTCTCTCCCGCGCCGAGTTGCACAACAAACCATTTAAACATTTCAGCACAAAACCCGATCCATTGTGGGCAGCACATTAAAAAGTGTTATTCGCTTTGAAGTTTTTGTCTAATGGCTCTAAACTGAAAGAAAATGTTTTCCTATTACTTAATTCAATCATAGCGAAGAGACTTGGTAAAAAGCCCACGGATTTTGCCCCAAAGTGTGACAGAGTTCTCTTTGTGTTTGCTTATCCTCCGCTGTCACACACTTTAATTCGCCTCTCTTTATCTGGCATTCAAAACTTTCTTCAATGACATTCAATAAGGTCCAGAGGCTGGAGGGAAAAAAAAAAAAAACTGGTTATTTTTCCCCCCTAGATATTCTTTCCCAGTAGCTTTGGCCTTGCTCGCATTCAGGGGCCCTTAACCCCTTCCTCCCCGGGCGCAGGCTGGGGCTCCCAGGAGAGCTCCGCACTGGCCCTTCGTGGGCTCCCGGCTCCGGGGCGCGGCGGCCGCCCCTTTCACCCCGCCGGGCCGCGCCCGCACCCCGCGCCTCTCCCACCCGCTTCTGCCCAGCAGGAGCCGCTCTCCCGGCCCTGGTCCCGGCTCAGTTTCAGCGGTCCAGGCCATCCCACATTTCCCAGAGGGCAATTAGAACCGGCATTAGGCTTCGCTGATGCACTCTGGCTGGTTTGCAAGCATCACCCTAGAGCAGGGAGCCTTGGGGAGGAGACCAAGGCGTTGGGGGCAGCATTGGTCCCCCGCCCCCAATGCCGAACAGTCAAGGAGGCATTGAGCCCTTACTCCTCTTGCTAGATGACATGCCCTGCATCCAGGTTATTTTCCCCATTGCCCCTCTCCCTTTCATGGAATGAGTTATTTTCTCTCAAATGAATTGTCTTTGCTTTTTAATCAGTCATAATTTGTTGCTGTTGTTATTGCAAAGATGTCACCAGTGATGGTAACCCATGTAAATGCTTCAATTTGGGGCAGTCTTATTCCCGTGCACTGATTCCACCCTCCGGAAGGCTTCTCCCTCCATTTCTCACAATTCCATTCAGGGCTCAGAGCAGGTGACTGCAGCGATTTGGTTCCAATAAAATCGAAAGTAAACGTCTTCCGTGAAAAGTCCGGGGCTGTAAATTCGCAATATTTATGCTAATTTCCCATTGTATGGAAAAAGCTCCTGGGCGAAGCAGCTTTGAGCCTAAGGACGATTTAAAAAGCTGAAGCTGTATACACAGCGCCAGGCGTTTGAAGTTGTTTAACCATTGTGTGACCAGAAAGAAGAGAGTGACGCGGAGGAGAAGGTCTTGGGGAGACCGGAGCTCGGTCGGGGTGGGCGAAGGCAGCAGAAGATGGGAATACAACTGCCCTTAGCGCCGCTCCTGCGGGGCAGACTTTGGGAAAGCAATGGTTTCCGAGCGCACCCGCGAGTCTCTTGGGGTGTGGGGTTGGGGTGCGGGCCAGTGGAGAAAGCGCCGGAAAGATCCGCGCCTGCAGAGAACGCCCACGCTCGCCACATCTGGTGGGATGCGAGACCTGGATCCTCGCCGTCTAGGCTTTCGTTCCCCACTCCCTGTCTCTGTCCGTGACTCTCAGCAGCTCTTTTCCTAAGTCCGCGGCCCGGTCGTTTGCAGGAAAGGGCTGACTGACTAGCATTTGCCGAACAAAGACTGAGCGTTATTGGCAGCATCAAAGTTAAGACTATTCGAAAAACTTGGAGAAAACGGAGTGACAGAGGTGGAGTTAGTGCTGGATGAGGAATACTGAGCCCTGCCCCCTCTCCCTATCGGCGCCTCCTCACCGCAGGAGCCCCAGTCTTTCTGCTTCCGACCCAGGGAGAGGGGAAGGGATTCCACAGGTGGAAACTGGAGGCTGGCTGTAGGGACGCCAGCGGGGTGCACAGCGCTGAACCGGGAAAATTGAGTGGAGGCAGCATGATCTTGGGGGACAGGGGGTGAAGAGAGAAGGAAGGGAACGAAGACAGAGAGTGCACAGAGAAGATGGGGGTGTGCGCCCATGGGGAACTGTGGAAGCGAGGGACTACAAAAATCAGTAAGATAAACGGGCCGATCGCCAATGCAAAGCCAAAAGGGAGTACAGAATAAAGAGAAAGAAAAGAATATTAAATCGCAGGAGAATGAGAAAATAAACCCGCAAAAGGGAGAGGAGGGGGCGAGGGCGCCAGTTACGGCGTGGGTGGGGTTGACAAGAATAGAGTACATTATGCAGTTCATTTAGTTAACAAGTGAAATAATGAGGAAGCGTGCAGAGTGAATGCCAAGAGAAAAGGCACAAAAACCCTATTGAGAGGCCCCGGCCGCTCCTGGCGTAGCCCATCACATGGCAATAGTCCTATTTAAGCGGCGCCGCCGGCGCCTTTCAGCACCACTAGCGCTGGCCAGCACCCCGAGCTCTTGGGGCGGCGCCCGCAGCAGCGGCGGCGGCGGCTTCAGCCTCGGCCTCAGCGGCACCCTCTGCCTCCCCGGAAGAGGCAGCTGCGCGCGGCCGCGGCCCAGGAAAGCCGGTGGAGAGCCCCGAGGTCCGCGGGGCGCAGGGAGCGGGCTGGCGGCGGGGCGGCCGCGCACCGGGGCCATGCCGCGCTCCTTCCTGGTGGACTCGCTGGTGCTGCGCGAGGCGGGCGAGAAGAAGACGCCCGAGGGCAGCCCGCCGCCGCTCTTTCCCTACGCCGTGCCTCCGCCGCACGCACTGCACGGCCTCTCTCCCGGCGCCTGCCACGCGCGCAAGGCCGGGCTGCTGTGCGTGTGCCCGCTCTGCGTCACCGCCTCGCAGCTGCACGGGCCGCCCGGACCGCCCGCGCTGCCTCTGCTCAAGGCGTCCTTCCCGCCCTTCGGCTCGCAGTACTGCCACGCGCCCCTGGGCCGCCAGCACTCGGCCGTGTCGCCCGGGGTCGCTCACGGCCCCGCCGCCGCCGCTGCCGCCGCCGCGCTCTACCAGACCTCTTATCCGCTGCCCGACCCCAGGCAGTTCCACTGCATCTCTGTGGGTAAGCCGGGCCGTCGCCCAGGGGGACAGGGTATAGGCGACCCAACGAGAGTTGGCGAGGCAGGGATGGGGGATGTGGGACCCTGAGCGTTCTAGGGGCGATGAGAGTCATATCGGGTCCCTGAGAGGGACACTCAGTGTGGTGTGCGGATGGAGGCCGGCCGGGACAAGACTCCAGGAGGGAGGGTGAGGGCAGACGGTCTAGGTCCTGGAGGGGGTGCGCAGGAGGGAGCGAAGGCTGGGGTTCAGGGCGCTCCATACAGTGGTGCCAGGGCCGCGTGACTCTGGGACTATCAGAGTCCCACGGGTTGGCAGGGAGGCGCCCGCTGTCACGCTGCAGTGCGTCGCGTGTAGGGCAAAGAGGTGGGTGAGAGACCAAAGTCCCAGGATTCTAACCGCCGCCTACCGGAGGATGGGGCCCACAGCTCAGGAGTCTGATCGCTTCCTCTCTGCACCCCTACCCACTCCAGACAGCAGCTCGAACCAGCTGCCCAGCAGCAAGAGGATGCGCACCGCGTTCACCAGCACGCAGCTGCTAGAGCTGGAGCGCGAGTTCGCCTCTAACATGTACCTGTCCCGCCTGCGCCGCATCGAGATCGCGACCTACCTGAATCTGTCTGAGAAGCAAGTGAAGATCTGGTTCCAGAACCGCCGGGTGAAGCACAAGAAGGAGGGTAAAGGCAGCAACCACCGCGGCGGCAGCGGGAGCGCGGGTGCCGGCGCGGGCGCACCGCAAGGCTGCAAGTGCGCGTCGCTCTCCTCAGCCAAGTGCTCCGAGGATGACGACGAATTGCCCATGTCTCCGTCCTCTTCGGGGAAGGACGACCGGGATCTCACGGTCACTCCCTAGGCGCATGCCTCCCCAGGTCGCCCACCCCAGGCCTTCCCTGCCCCTCAAAGACTGGTCCTGGGGTGCAGCATTGGTTCCCAGGCACCCGCTGCCAAACGGCGGCCACGCACGGATTTGGCAAGCCTTTGCGGAGGCCCCGGCCTTGGGCAGCACCAAGAGCTTGGCAGAGACCTGACGCTGGTATCCCCACCCCAGGGCCCGCGGCCGTCCAAAGCGAACTTCAAGCTGTGAACGCTGCAAGCGCTCGAGTCCTTCTCAGCCATGCAGCACAGCGGCACCCGCGGACACGACCGCCGGGCCCAGCGCCTTGCTGGCCACTGGCGCTTCCTCGCCCGCCCTGTCTGGACTGGCTCAGGCTTTCTCGCTTCCTCTACTCTCCTCCACCCTGGGTCAAGCTCGGCCTTTCACCCCTTGGGTGCCCGTTCGCTTCCCCCTCCCTTTTTTTGTCTTTTTCTCCCTCCCCACTTCTTTCCTTTGGTCCTTTATCCAACACCCCCCCACACACACACACACACGCGCACACACATTTATGAACTCCTAGTTTTTGTTTTCTTTTCCTTTCTCTTCCACTCCTCGAGGAGCCTCCTTGAAGTTCAGTCAGTCCGTTTGTCCCTCAATCAGGCCGCGGCTCCTCTCTCAGGAGAGAAATTGTCACCTGTGGTATCCGTGTCGGGGAAACCCCTTCCTTTTGTTTTGGAGATGCTCTGAATTCTCCCAAGCAGAGGTCCCAGCTCTCTGCCTCTGGCGACCCCTCTCTTCCCGCAGACCCCAGACCCTGGCCCTGCCCTAGGTTGTAATTGTACTGTCTCTGTAATACCAGAAGATATTTATTTATTTATTTATGTACAAAGTTTTAAATAAACTTTTTTTTCTTAGAAATCCACGTGGGATTTCTGGGCTCTGAACCCCAGGCCTGCGCTCTGGACTGGACAGGCGGGGACCTGGGTTGGGACACCCTCCTGGGGCGGGTCGGGGATGGGGTGGCGAGTCGGAGCTCCGCTCCTGATCTTGCTGCTCCGCCGCCCCTCTCCGCACCCTCAACCCCGCGGAGACTCCGCCCTCCGCGCCCGCCAGCCCTGTGCGCTCTCTGGTCTCCTGTCCGGTTGCGGCCTGGAGCCCCCACGCTGAGGAGAGCAGAGCCGAGTTGGAAGGAAAGAGGGCGCTTACCCCCCGCTGTGGCTCTGATCCAGACCCCGCCCTGTAGCGTCCCCCTCGCGTCTAGGATCCGGCCCCATCTCCAGCCCTGTCGGTTTGGCTGTTCTGGCCGCCATCCTCAAGGGCAGAGACCACTCCTGCGTTAGCGTGAGAACTCCGTCCTTCGCTGCGCTCGCTCGGATTGATAACGATTATCATCAGTCGTTTTTATCTATCGTATTTGTTAGGGACAAATTCCCAGCGGGATTGTGCGGCCTCCTCTCGGAACAGGCCCCTCGCTTTGCTTGGAGGCACATTTCATTAGCGATGTCCCTGCTCCCAGACCCTGCGGGCCACGATTCCAAGGACCGAGAGCAATCCCTCGCTGGAGTCCCCGCGAGGGGCCTTGCGTAGCCGGAGCTTGTGGCTCCCGGACCTTATGTTCTCACCGATTCTTGTTGCACTCCCGCAGCCACCTACGACTTAGAAGACTTAGAAGCCACATTGGGGAGATATGCGGGGGTTTTTACGCGTTACGCGGACTAGGAGAAGAAGGAGGTGAGGGGGTTTCCGCTGAGGCGGAAAAACGCACGGCCACCATAGTAGGGTATTTCTGCTGCTCAGGAAAGCGGATACACGAAAGAGCGGATCCGGGTTCTCACGACCTCCCGAAGACGCCCATTCCGCGTCCTGGAGACCTAGGCCGCTTCTTTTCCTGCCAGAAATCTCCTCGCCACTCCCCCACCCACACACACCCATACGCACACCCCGGAGGGCGCCCTACTCCGCGAATCTAGGCAAGGCAAACACGCGCGCCTCTTCCGGCGAGAAAGGCGCTCCAGTTGGGGTTTCTCAGCATATATAGGGTTCATTTCTAAAACTTTCGGTCTTTTCCTTCAAATTAAGCTGAGCGCGGGGCTCTTTCCAGTTTCCCCACAATAAAGGCGGGCGCGATCTGGATCCCCATGAAGAAGCCACTTCTGGTTCTTCCTGGAGCAAGACGCCTGGGTTGTGCCAGAGACACATAAGCGGTGGCACCCCCCCCACCCTCCGCCATCTCCATCAGTCTGAACCCCAGTTTCACCCGAAACCAGTTCTCGCCCTCCCAGGAGGGGGCATTGTGCCGATATAGACGAAGCCAAGGTGCTTTAAGGCACACCGCGAATAGAATCCCAACTGTTTTATTATCAGTGATTCTGAGGCTTTCGAAGTTTCGCGCAGCTGACACTGCTCTAAGAGCCCCTCGGTGAGGAAAGTTTCGCATCCTTTAGCTCCAGGGCAACCCACCAGTTTGACTTTGACAGAGATTTGGGACCTGGTGGCAGCACGGCCCCCAAGGGACAAGTCCATGGGGAATCCGAAGGGCTCGCTTGGAGCCAGCTCCTTCCCTGGATTATGGGAGGGGATGGCCAGGTGCACCTGGGCCAGGCTTTCGCCGGCTCTCGGTGACAGGTCGCTCGACTAGAAACGCACTCTCGGATATGAGCCCACTAGGAAGCTGGGGGCGCGGGGGGCGGGGGGTGCTACGGAAGGAGATGGAAACAGCTTGGAGAGATGTGAAGAGGCTGGACCCTGACCCCCAACCCCCATCTCCAGCGTATCCCCACCCGGAATCCTTCCGTTTTGCCACCCTATGCAGAGCTCCCTCCTGTTCCCAACTGCTCGCAGAAGCCGCAGATCCACTTCTTCGTGCCGCGTCCACGCAGGTCCAGTTCTCCTAGGAGCGTGCCTTTCTTCCTCTCAGCTTTGTCTACCGAAGGCTTCATTTCCCCGTCCCACTCCCAGAAGACCAGCCTTTTCTCTTTCTGGTGGGCTACCGTGGCGAGCAACGGGAGAAAACGCAGCCTCCCTGCGGCTGTCCCAGTGGTTACCAAAGCCGCGACAGGAGCGCGGCGCCGGGGATCGTGGAGGCGGCTACGGCGCGCAGGGGCTCTCAGCATCCAGCCGCCTCCTGGAGGCGCGGCGACCGGCTTTTGAGTCCCAACACGCTTCGGTTCAAACGCTCCTCACCCTGCTGTCTCTCTCGTGGCAGTCCTTCCTCCGATGCTTGGGTTGGAGCGAGGGCAGGGCGCGCCTGCGGCCAAGAGGCACCGGGAACTGGAGCTTCCACCTGGGGAGACAGACTCCAGTGTTTAAGCCCAAACTGTTTTGAGTTAGAATTTGGGGCTTGCAAGGCAAATTGTGAAATTAAAATAAAATTGTTATCAAGATGAAATTTCCTGGAAGTTACCATTTTGTGTGGCTAATCCACATAGAGACCCCTGAGTTTGTTTCAAGGACAGCATCTTTCTTTGTGCAGTTCAGTGGCTAGGAGTTTGGACCTTGGAATCCAAGTGCCTGGCTTTGCACTCCTTTTCCACCATTTACTTATAAGCTGGGTAATCTTGCTCGAGCCCCTGGTCCTTCCTAAGCCTTGGTTTCTTCCTCTGTAAATGGGGATTATGTTAACAGTTCCTTTGCAAGATTGTTGGGCAGTATTAAAGGATAGAATTCACATAAAGTGCTAAGCACACTGTCTGCCAAGTTTCAATACATGTTAATGTTGTTGTGATTGTTACTTGTAGCGCCTATAGCTGGGCCTGGGGCATAGTTGGTGGGGAATTATTTACTGAATGCTGAAAAGTGACTGCTCACACTCAAGCTCAGACGAGTCTACCACTGAGGGGCTGGAGAACACACACTAGTGCAGACATTTCCAGGAACCCCTGGAGTTAGTCACGCAGAGAATAAATACTGGCTCCCCTCTGCCAAGCACCACCCAGCTGCTGAGAATCACTGAAATCCAAAGAGGGTTCCTCTTTTCCCCTTTCACTTAGACCCATTCTTCAGCCTCTGCACTATTGACATTTTGGGCCAAGTAATTCTTCCTTGTGGAGCCGTCCTGTGCATTGCAGGATGTTTAGCAGCATCCCTGGTCTCTCCACACCAGGTGCCAGAAGTACTCCTCCTTCCAGTTGCAACAAACAAAAATGTCTCCAGACATTACCAAATGTCCCCTGGAAGCAAATCATCTCAGGATGGGAACCACTGATTTCGACCCATGTATTTTCTGCTGAGGTTTGCCAGGCCACGGTGGCCAGGATTTGGGAGCCTAGCTCTGAGCACACCTTTCTATCTTTCCTTCGGTTATCCATCATTGGATACTTGTACCTTCTCCATCAGGAGTCCTGGACTATGCACTGAGGTGTGGTATGAGAGGACAAAGGGGAAAGAGAAAGTGGGTGGGGGATGTGAGGGGAGACACCAAAGATGACTGCACAGTGGGGGCATGCCAGCTTGTCTGTGCAGCCTTGGGCGTTTGGGCTGAAAGGGTGAACTAGTCAGAGGCTTGAGAGTGGGCAGGGTTTACAGAGCCACTAGGGCCTTTCCAAGAATATTCTATCCATTTGTCTCATGACCTTTTGACACTTGGGCTCCCTCCTCAGCCATGTACATGGGTACTCACGCACTTTTGGGGGAAAAAAATTTCAGAAGCCTGAGGTGGCATCCCCCCAGGCAAACACACACACACACACACACACACACTCAGCACCGCTATTATGGTTCTTCCTGGAGCACAGTCCTTATCTGTTTTGTCAATGCCTGAAAGTCTGAAACTAGAAATCAATTCTTTTTGGTTAAGGCCTCCTGTATTTGGTTCAAACACAAGTACCTCTGAGAGTAGTATCCATTGAGCACATCATTCACTTTTTCTGAAAGAAGGCTCTGGAAGGACAAAGGAGTAGAAGGTCCCTGAGGACTAAGGGACATGGAAGAAGTACAAGAGCAAGAAAAGGGGCAGACAGAAGAGGGAGGGTCCTAGAGTCTCGCTGGCATGGATCAGTGCAGCCAGGGGCTATCTGCCCTCCACCCTGACCTGTGAGGGAGTGTGCTTCCTGGACTGCTTCAGAACTGGACTCACCCACAATTCCAATGGGGCAATAACATCGTGAATCCAGGGTTTCCCCCGTCTTGTACTGGTCATCAGCAGGTGAGTT